CAACACCCGGTGGCCCCGCGGGGGAGCCCCAGAAAGCCTCCGCCCCCACCCAGCCCCAGCCCGCAAGATGATATTGAAATGAGCGCGCCATTCCGAAAATAACTGACCAACTCTCGGCGACAATCCCGCGCAGTGCGTGTTCCGTCGGTCCGTTGTGGGGCCGTCTGTTGATTTGTCTGCGTCGGCGTCCTCTTGGACGTCTGTTGCACAAGGTCGTGCACCCTGTGCTGCCACAATAGGTGCCAATACACAACAGTGTCCAATGCGACACTTATCCCCTACTCTAACACAACGACAGCATTCCTTATACCTCTTCCCCCACCCTCTCTGCCTCCCCCTCTATTCCTCCCTCTATCCCCCTCCCCCTCTCCTTTTACCGTCCGGTAATAATTTACGTCCGTCGCGAAGTCGTGCGGCGATTTACCAGTAAGACAACACGACTCGCCAGCAGTCCTCCCTCTCTCTCTCTTTCTCCTCTCTTGTTCTTCCCCTACCGACGCTGGCCGGGTGCCAGGCGCGGCCAGGACGCTTTCTCATCAGCCAATTTGTCTTTCGAGTGGCTCGTTTGCACCGCTGCGCTCACCTGGTGGCTCACCGGTGGCTCACCTGGTGGCTCACCTCCGGCTCAACCAATTGCTCACCTAGTGGATCACATTGTTGCAAACAGCGCACTTTACGCATTCGCTTCATAGGAGATGTATGTTTCTGTTTTGAAACCTGGAAAAACTACGTCCAGAAAATGTGCAACTTAAATCAAGGAGATTTCGTGTTTCCAAGGTCAAAATGTTGGATTTAACGTACATTTTGTCATTCAGTCAAAGTCATTCGCCTTTAGGTGTATTTAATGACAAGAATTTCTTTCAATTTCTTAAGGGAAAATTCTTTAATTTGGCGCATTTAGCCTTGTTTCACTTAAAATTTCAAGGTAGGTTGTAATTGCATTTGATTATGCACTCTGCTGCATGTAACGGGAAATGCCATCAACAGGCAGAGAGTTCATTGCAAACGCATTTTACTCCCAGGGATTACAGTTTGAGCCGATTTCTCAAGAAACATATCTCATGTCACAATTGTTAGTTTTCTAGTGAAGCACCAGCCAACCATTTCACATCATCCCTAGGATGGAGATGTCGCCTCCAAATTCTACCGCGGCGGAATGAAGGGAGCTTGTTTCCCATGCAGTCATGCAAACGCAGCTTCGCTCACCTTGTCTTTCTTCCTCTTTTTCCTTTCCTTTCTTTTTTCTTCCGCAGGTAGAGCGCGCTCACTTTCCATTCCGTAACGCTCCTCTTACTTCAGTTTGCTTCCCTATGAATATTTTAAACCACCGTATCGGGAAATGAGAGAGACTGGGGGGCTCTGGGGCTCCTTGCAACTTGGCGGGGAAGACTCTTTGGCCAGTCGACCCTGCACCAGCATTCTCGATCCATCACTTACCGTCTACGCACGCATTTAAAACCCTTCAGGATTGTTTCAAACTCTTCCACAGACAAGTAAAATTGGCTAAAGGTCAGTTCAATTCTGCTTTGATAACTGGCAAGGAAGAAACGCGGGCAAAAATAGTTGGAGTCACATGAAGCTGAAAAACAGTTAGTGAACATAGGGTAACGACGGTAAATATCATGAAAATTGCAGGGAATTGAAAGCCATTGGAATCTCTTAACCCTGACCTGACCTGTCCTGTTCGTCTGCCGCGCACTGTGGAGGGGCCGCCAATTACTGAACTTTTTTTTAGGAAGAAGAGCTTCTTCAGCGAGCGGCGCCGGGGCATTTACATGAGAGAGGACAGAGGGGGTGGGGCGTGAATCAGTCGCGCCAGATAAAAGCAACCCAGAGAGGGCGACAAAGGCGGGCCGGGCCCTGGGCCGGGCCGGAGCCATCAGCTGCGCGGGCCGCTTTGTCTGCATCCGGACGGACCGGGGGCGGTCGTCCCAAGCTGAACACTGTGCGGTCATCAGTGAGAGTGAAGAGCCTCCGAATCCTCCGTCGGGCCTGCCTCTGTATTGGGCGTTGTTTTTGTTTTGGATTTAGGACGCGAGAATCTCATTATGGCACACTGAATGTGTGGGTGAATTTTTTAGAGGCTGCTGCAAATCGAGCAAAGCGTGGACACGACGTCGTCACGTGCAAAAGTTCTAATTGGTAAAAAGGAATTGATAAAAAACACCTGTTCTTTGAAAATGGTTAATATAATGGATATCAGTATTGTTGATTTTAAATGGAACGTCTTCCCAAAATTCTTGAAAAGTTAACTTCTCAAACAAACTCAGAATCAAACATTTTAGCATACTCCCGTCACTGAAATTTTTGACCCCCTTTGACAGTATTCCTAATAGATAGAAACCTTGCAGGCAATAATTCCTCTTTCCGTAACTGACAATCTCTTGTTGTGGAACTGCATCGGCAACAAAAGTAAATGTGGGAAGTGATTAGTCAGTAATCCTGCTGCATGAAAATGTAGCTATATACTCAGAAGAAAGTCAGTAGAGTGAAACGTTGCCACGTGCAAAGCTGTCTTCTTTTTCCCGAACAAAAATGTCTGTGCAAGGAGCCCCGCGCTGTCCGCCCCACACGGCGCGCCGCTCAGTGCCCCTCGGGCTTCCAGTGACGGGGGTTTGGCGGGGAGGAAGGCGGGGGCGACATGAAAAATGTATGATTTATATAATGCCGGTCCCGAGGAGCTCTGATTGGAATCAAACGAGCGTTATTTAAATGCAAATCGTCACTTGTGGTGATCTCGGCCGGAACAACCCTCCCCCCCCCCCTCCTATCCCCCAGCCCACCCATCTCCCTTCCAGTGGCCCGAGGGGCATTCTGAGTCTCCCGTCGACAGCCAGGACCCAGCCCCAGCCCTCCCTCGAGTAGCTGGCCTACCCTGCCAAACCTGCCTGCCTGACCCAGTCACATTGCTACCCAGCATGGCAAAGAAAGGGACCTTCAGCTGTGTATTACGGTCGCAGCAACCTTGTACCTTGTAAATATTATCCAATCCGAAATCTTTCACGTACAAATTTTATTAATCGCTATGGATAAAAAAAAATCACCACTAGAGTTTTTGAAGCTTGTGCTACAAATAGGGCAAACAGATCAGTATATAGATTAATGACAGATTTCTCCAGTTTCCCCAAGTTAAACTTTCTGTCAACAGAGACCAAAATAAACCCGTCAATATTACGAATATTTCTCGGGATATATTGAAGTCCCCGAAATGGATATGTTTGGAATCTGTTTTGAACCGTGCCCTTTGCACCACATCCTTGTGCTGGACACAGGGGAGTTGTTGCCCTCTGTGTGGTGGTGACTTTACTCCTATTCGTCACTTGATTCGCCAGATCTCGTTCGGTTCAACGCACGGCGCGGACGCTGGGCGCCACGAGGACAAACACCCCCGTGTCCTTTCCATTTAACTTTACTCTTCGGCTTGCATAACATCTGCATGTTTTACCCGCGGGATGCCCCCTGCATGGCCGGGACTGCGACCCCTGCCAAATACTTTCTCTTCTCTTGTCTGAATGGGCGGAGGATGCCGAGCACCCCGCTGCACGCGACACGGTCAGGCGACGATACGTTCAGTCACGCGTTTTCGTCACGCGCAGCAACACGATCCATTTTTCGTCGCCCCGTCCTATACCTCCTCCCCCCCCCCTCCCCCTTCTCCACCTCCTTCGCCCCCTCGCCTCGCCCTCGCCACGCCCAGCGTGTATATGTATGGGCCCCTGCATGTGACACACCGAGCAGCAAACAGCAGCAGCAGACGCAAAATGAAGAAAGAACGCGGGGGCGGCGGCGGGTCCAGGGCGAAGGGGGAGCGGAGTGAAGGGGGGAGAACAAAGAAAAGAACACGGTGTGCGCCGAAAGGATCGAGGCGACAACGGGGAAAAACAGGAAGTGTGAGGGGAAAATATAAGGTGACGTGCATGTTTTACGTTTGTGTTTATTTCCTCGTTCCCTCCAGGGCCGAGGCTTAGAGCGCCGCGAGGCCCATACGCACGCGCGGAAAACTCTTTCCCTCTCTATCTCCCTCTATGCTCACATTTCCCCCC